GATGTCTCGGTCTCCTGTCGTTTGTCGCGCGTTCCCAAATGGTACCTTTATAATTAACTTTCTTGCGACCGACTGTAGGATTTTAGTCGTGTGTTGAAATATTTTTGAGTGTATTTCATGAAGTGGCTAATTTCACCAAAAGTCTACACCATATATAGGAAAAAAACAAGGAAATAACGAAAGATTTAGAATAATTATATATTTAAAATAATAATTTTAAACGTATACGGTAGACGGACTTGATATGTAAAAAACATTTACTGGTAAATAGATTTAAATTAATGTAAAATATTTCAGTATTGTTTATGAAATATTTTTTACATAAACAATTTTATAAACAAAATTTGGTAATTATGTATTCTTATAACTACATAGAGGCTTGTTTTTTTTTTTTTTTTTTTTTTTTTTTTTTTTTTTTTTTTTTTTTTTTTTTTAATAAAAAGTGCAATAGCAGTAACTGAAACACACGAAAATGATCAATAAAACTTTGTACGATTATTAAAAAAAAAAAAATAGTTTTTCATCATAGATCCTCAAAATACGATTTAAAAAATTTGTTTAGTGTGTTTAGACGCATGCACCTTAGGGTGGAGCGAAAAAAAATATTTTTTTACTATACAGGGTGGCTCACGCTCAACGGGACGGAGCTTTATGGGAAAACGACCAAAGATATAAAAAATTCGTTTGGGAGGAATACGTAGGTTACAGGCGGCTACAATTTAAAATGTGTTAGATGTATACAGGATGTCCCACATAAGAGAAAATATACAAAGTTATATTATTTTTAATGGAACACCCTGTTTTTTATTTTAGAATTAAAAACTACATCAAAACTAATGTCAGTTAACTAAAGGTTCCCTATTATTATTAGTTTTCGATTTATTTGAATTTTTAAGGAAAAAAAGTCTCCCAGAAATTAATTGTTTACTCTTGTTTGAATAATTTTTAATGAACTAATTTTTTTTTTCTTATGTGGGACATCCTTTATACATCTAACAAATTTTAAATTGTAGCCGTCTGTAACCTACGTATTCCTCCAAAACGAATTTTTTATATCTTTGGTCGTTTTCCCATAAAGCTCCGTCCCGTTGAGCGTGAGCCACCCTGTATAATACCTAAGAAAAGTTGCCTCTACATATATTAAGCTATTTTCTGAAATTTCAATTTAAACAAAATCACATTATACAATTAATTCGAGATATATATCCTGGGTAAGTATCAAACCTTTATTAGATATCCTAAAACTAAACTAAATAACAATTATAAGTTAAAAGTCGAGAAATATAAAGACGATTCAAAGAAATTATTCGATATTGATGCATGTAAATGTGCTTCTTTTGATACATGTGGCTTCTAGCAATGCTTTCTGATGATCGTCCTTCTATAAGACAACTTGGCTTACAAAGAATATTGAAGGCGCGCATAAAAATATCTGCAGACGTAAGGGAATTTATTACTGAATTACAGTTCATCAAATTTCTAGAGGCTTTCGACGGCTAGACAGAGAAAGCACTACTGACAGGCATCCCGACGGATTTACGCAATGAAAGTATACTATGCGCATCAAGTATTTCACTATTTCATTCAAACGTAAATGTCAGATGTTAATTTCGCTAAAACATTTCTTTTATTTTCGTTTGTGTTTTTTGCTCATTACAGTTTAATAGAACCTAAGTATGGAGTTTAATAGCAAATTAAGAGGCCGCGTGATTAACAGTCAATCTCGCGAAATAATAGCCAATGTTATAGAGTTTATGAGAAGAGAAGGAAACTTTAATTCACCTTCAATACCATTTAAAAATGTAAATGATCGTGTTGCTGCAGCCACAGGAGTATCTAAAAACACTGTCGTCCGCATTTCTGGAGAGAGAAAAAGAATCGATAACCGTGAGATATCGGAATTTTCATCACCAAGAAAAACCATTAAAAAACCAAAAACAGTTAATGATATAGATGAAGCTGCACAAGAATCAAATTTTATTTTTTTATTATTAGATAGCTATTTTTGTTTCTGAGTTGTGTTCATTTACAGGCTCATTTTTTTTCCGTTTCTCCTTTTTGATTTTATATGGGGTTTCAAGTTGTTTTTGACTTATTTCGACGTAAATCACAACAACACACTTTTTTAATAAAGCAAACAAGTGTTAAGAGGTATATGTACGTGTAAACTACAATTACAAAAAATTGATATGAAACCCATGGTGTCATTCGTCAAGATAATTTATCGTTTTGTTTAATAGATCAAGAAATGTAAATATTCCCCTGTTATTTTTTATAAAATTATAAGAGAAATAAATTTTTTTCTAAATAGTATAGTTTATTATTTTGTAGAAAAACAAAATTTCGAAAATTTTAGTAATGTTTCAGAAACAACCGTTATTAATAATAGGTACCATTTTCCTTAATAAGGTAGAAATAAAATATAAACTATTTCCACGATTTACAAAGGCCTACAAAAAAATTATAGGTATTTTCCGCTATCCTATAAAATTTATATTTTCTGACTCAATTTCAAAAGGTTGAAGGAATTCCAAAACACCTTTTATGGCATAATAATTATTTTCAATTCTACATACTATCTTTAGCTGCTTTTAAAAACGTTCTAAGAAAGTTCAATCAGACCAATTTAATCCCTAAACTATTCCACACTTTTAAAATTTAATTACCTAAAAATATTAAAAACTATTTACAATAACTTGTTTAGCAGACTGTACAATAGTTATCTTAGTCACACGTAGCGCGTTCTCTGTCTGGGCGTCGAACACCTCTAGAAATTTGATGAACTGTAGATTTCAATGCTAGTGAATATTATGAGCTTATTGATTGGCAAAAGTGCTCAGTTACAGCACCACCTCTTTCAAGTACTACAACTGATGGAGATATCGGAGAATTTATAAACGATACAGGAACTTGTCCTGTAGATTTTTGTGTCCTTTCCCTGCCATATACAGGCAGTAGAGAGGTGCGTGAAAGTTGTAACATTCTGTTGTCGGCCATAACTATAGAGATGGATTTATTCTAGACCCATACTACCTCGATTTAACACTATGGCGGAATACAATGCATGTATTTCACATACCTATTTTTTTTGTTTGCTCGTCTATATTGTTAAGTTATAATCGCTTTCGTTTATAAAGAAAACATATTTAAATTATTTTCATTTTTATAAAATATTTGCAAAAGTTTTATTAAATTATTCGGGAAAATAGGAAAATTCAAGTAGGCGTAGAGCCCTGATGATAACATTTTAAAAATCAAATAAAAATAGCCCGTTAATCATTCTTACATTTAGCAACGTTTCGAAAATAAAATAAAAAATATTTGCTTCCTGTTTCACACCACCCCAATGCACCTGTTGTCTGGTTACGAAACCCTGCTTAAAAAAGACTTAAAAAACCCTATGTGAAAGTGCATCGAAAAAATTTCAAATGATAAATTTAGAAATATTCCAGGATATGTTTTAGTTTCTTTTTCGCTTGTTGATTTTATTGCAAAATTTTAACACCAATGTGTAGTTATAAGAATACAAATAAAGGAAGTACTATAAATCAAGAAGGATGTCTCTCAGATTTGACACCAAAACACTTGTACCGCCCAAAGATATCGGATAGGATAGGCTTTGTTTACATTAAGTTTGTCCGCAACATAATCCTGACGACATGATGTTATTATCTCCTCTCAAAAAATAATATATTCAATTTTAAAATATCCAAAGAAAGTTGACAGCTGTGTGCACGTAGTTTAGATTTAAAAGGAAAGACTTGTATTTCGTGCAAAACTTTTTAATTAATAAATGCAAAGCGCGTTGAGCATTGTGCCATCATCAGTGCGTATCTACAAAAATTGTGGATGTGAACTTACAATTTATAAATATGTGTAAAGATAAAATCTGAGTAAGACTTTTAAGTCAAAAGTTAAAAATATATATATAGGGTGACTTTGACTTAAAAGTCTTACTCAGATTTTATCTTTACACATATATATTTATAAATTGTAAGTTTACATCCACAATTTTTGTAGATAAGCACTGATGATGGCACAATGCCGAAAGCGCTTTGCATTTATTAATTAAAAAGTTTTGCACGAAATACAAGTCTTTCCTTTTGAATATTCAATTTTGTTTAAAACTATTAATATTGAAAGCATCAATGAGTTATTTATTCATTACAATCTTAAGATTTTTATTTGGCGACTTACAAGTTGGGTATAATGTTTTTATTTAATCTTTCTGTATTTTTACCAATGAAACTGAAATAAGAAAATCGTAATTCAACACTTTTAACTTCTTTTTGAAAATCCTGTGTATATTAAAAATTGTTACTGACCGTGTAGAGGTTGAATATTAAATAATTACGAGTCTAAGTGCCAAAACCATGAAAAAAGGTTATCGAGTAAAATAAAAATTTTATTTATCATATACGGACATATACATTCGCCATTTTTATCCCACTACAATAAATGAATTTTTTTGAAAATGCACTTGTAACCATTTGGTTGGTATAATAAACCTTTTTATGCCAAATAGAATATTTTTAAAATTTTGGCACTTAAACCCTTTAGAAGTTAGTCTTCAATTATAAAATATTATAAATGAACCCTCCCAAAACAGTACGTCATTGTGTACTGTACCCTACTCCTTCCCAGTCAGGTTTACAACGCGGACAAAACAGTACTGTTTACACAGTGTAAAAACGAGTTATAGGGGCCCTTCACGCTCCGATATGGCCTGCAGGCCAAAAACAGTTCTGATCTAAAGGCAAAATTTAATCAACTCATTTCACTCTTCACATTTGACAAAATATGTAAATCAGATCTGTACTGTACCAGTTCAAATCTCACAAATCGTAGCGTGAAGGGCCCCTTTTAAGTCTATGTTACCACCATACCAAAATATCAAATCTGACAGAACCTTCATTATCAAATTAAATAAAATACTACCGATCGCATTCACTTAAAAACGAAAACTATAAACCGTATCGAACGTCCAAATGAAAACTCACCTTCGTAATTGACTTGACCATCACCGTCGATGTCTGCCTCCCTGATCATTTCATCAACTTCTTCGTCTGTCAATTTCTCACCAAGGTTGGTCATCACGTGGCGGAGTTCCGCCGCTGAAATGAAACCATTACCGTCCTTATCGAATACTCGGAATGCTTCGCGAATTTCTTCCTCACTGTCAGTGTCTTTCATTTTACGCGCCATCATCGTTAAGAATTCGGGGAAATCGATTGTACCATTACCTAGAAGAAAAAAATAACAAATTAAAGGGGAGCAGTAGCCATATGTAAGAGAGTATAGGGAATTATGATGGAAGGTGGTAAAATTTATTTTGTTATACGAGTACATTTTATTGCCTTAATAATAATGCATTTAGGTATTTTAGCTGTATATTAGCGGTCATTCACATTAATGTAACGGTTGGAACCGTTATTTCGGACACAATCACCTATTACTCAAATGTCATTTGTCGTCTATGCTTTGTGTCAGAAGTAGTGACATTTTTATTTTCATTTGACAGACAGCGGCGAATAGGTCACTTCTATTTTAATATGATTTTGGTCATCTGAAATATTAATTTATATTTATTTATGTTAATGACCGTCTGATTTTATGAAGTACGTTTTGTTAATATGTTATTAAATATATATTTTGTTCAATGATTTCTCGAGCAAATTGTCAAATATTATACATAACCTCTACATCTGCAATGAATGGCGCATGTTAGCTTCTATATAAAATTATATATTATTTTTTGGAATAAGATATTATGCTTTACTATATTTAAATAAGATTTTTCTTTTTCATATTAATTTTAGTCTCTGTCTTTTTCGCCCATGGCAATCTCTAGATGATACGGGTTTGAATACTAATCAGAATCATTTATCTTGAAGATCATTCACGGTTCAATCACGAATAGGAGTCACAAATGAGAGATGAATAAGAATTCCGACTCACTTGGTGGTATATAATGTTTAGCGATTGATGTATCTCTGCAGTTTGGGACAAAGGAAGAAATATATTATTACCTTATTTGCCACTCAGATAAGTGCAACTGATCTAATCAATAAATTGTTTTAAATTTGAATTATGTGCAAACTTATGTGAATTAGAATTTGATACATACTTTATCTAAAGCATTTTTTAAGCATAATTTGTTAGTGGTTAGTGATTTTCTATATTTTTATCACTAATGTAAAGTTAAGCGTATAAGCTTTAAATATAGTGGTGCCCAACTTCTTTTTCAAAGTTATTAGAGTTATTTAAAAACCTAACCCACGCCCCATAAATTGAGCTCAAACACATATCAAAGTAGATAAAATAACCAGCTATTCATGTTACAACTGTTTATTAGTATTTCAGATAACCATAACCAGCTTAAGTATCAAATATTGTAACAGACGAATTATTTGGCTGTTAAATAACTGGAGGTTAAAATATTGACAAGTGATCGACACAAAAAATATCCGAAATCCAAAATGAGACAAAATTGTTATGATAAAAATTGTGAGTGTATTCGTAATTCTCCTCCTCCTAAACGGCTTCGATTAATTTTTTTGTTTATATGGGGTCACCTGTTTGATTCTTAGCTATAGCTGGACCCGATAGATGGCTATGTTGTCGAGATTCAGGTCTGTGACAGGACGTCTGCCTAGCGGGTCCGCTAGTATTTTTAACCGACTTCAACAAGTATTAAAAGTGATTTTAAAAAACCGACTTCAAGTCGTGCAGATGCCATCACTATATCTTAACCAAATTTATATGGGACCACCCCTGAGGTACCCTCTTACTAACAAAAAAAGAATCATAGAAATCGGACAAGGTGGTAAAGAATTATCGCTAACAATACATAAAAAATGAATAGTTTGAGGATTTTCTCATGGACCCAATTATTAGAGTTTGACCAAATTTATATGGGACCACCCCTGAAGTACCCCATTTCTAACAAAAAAGAATCATTGAAATCAGACACCATGTTAAAGAATTATCGCTGAACATAAAGGAGGAGGTTCTCAATTCGTCGGTATAATTTTTTTTATGTATATTCAGCAATAATTCTTTAACACGTTGTCCGATTCTAATGATTCTGTTTTTGTTAGAAAAGGGCGTACTTCAGGGGATGTCCCATATAAATGTGGTAAAAATCTAATATTGGGTCCATGAGAAAATCCTCACTCTTCAGTTTTTATGTTTGTTAGCAAGGGGGTACCTCAGGGGGTGGTCCCATATAAATTTGGTTAAGATGTGGTGATGACATCTGCACGATTTTGAAGTTACTTTTAATACTTGTATAAATTAGAATTTTGTATCGTACATTAACATTTTATATCTTATAAATCTTTCATTGATTTAAATTTTTTTAATGTCAACAGGAATCGGTTAATATTAGTTTTGTAGATATACTATTTTTTAATTTCGGCACTCGTGTCTGGAATGGCTCGACTGGAACAATGTTGTAACAGGACTACTTCGTACTTTTTCGGTTGGATCGGTGACGTAATTGTCTAAGGCGCTCGCATTCATTTGCTAGCAATTTTGTGGTCGATAGACACCTGGCTTCGAATCCTACAGAAGACCATGTGAATTTACTTGCATGGTTCTCTAGGATTTGATGGATGCCGTATTAGCAAAAATTTAATTTCTATTGATATGACATATCCAGATTATAAATATCGATGATGATGGATGGAGTTTCCTCACCTGTAAGTCAAATGGCACTATCGATCATCTTTAAGTCGCCCCGGAGAGCCACGGCAAATAATAGCTGTCTCGTCCCCTACAAAAGTCGTATAGTCGGCTTCAGGGGTTGAAATTCACTGGTTATAGGGGGTGAATTAGGGAGAGTATTATTTTAATTTAGCACGGACTTTAGCCACTTGTTATTGATAACTTGTCAGCGCTAAACCCATTTAGTCTGCACTTGTTAATGGTGGACCCATGATCCATCCATAGTAACAAACATGTCAAAAAAATTTTCTTTGTTACATTTTCAAAAAGTGCTCACAAAAAAATGAGCACACGATTTCGCTTCTGATGATCAGATAACATTCGTAGAATCCATCTTACGCTTATCTTTTTCATATCTAGTTTGAGAGTGTTGTGAACTGTATGATATAAGCCAGTGTATTCGACAATTTTATCTGATATACACACGTCGATCTTCAAGCATTAAATCATAGATCTTTTTAACGATTTCATTTGTAGCCACCGTGATTGGCGGTCCTTTAGCTTGAAGGTTTTCACATGAAGCTCTCATATTTGAATTCACGTCACCAGCGTATCATTACATCATATGATACAGTAGACTCTCCTAATGTTATATATCTTGATGAACGTCATGCCTTTTTTCTGAAAATATTTTATTACCGCTCTCTGGTCGACTGATTACATTTTTAAATGACGTACTTACTTAACTAATAATTACCCAACATACTGATACTTAGACTAGTTACAACAAAGTTATTCGATACACAGCATAAATTATATTTTCAAGGTGTCAAAAATTTTAATCTGAAAGACCAATGTAAATGGGTCAGGGGTGGAGCATAGGATGAACCATCATATCAATAATGAATATTTTTATTTTGTATTCGAATAATACATATTTAAAAAAAAAATGGGATTAAAGTATGCAATTTAGAAGAAAATTTCTCAATGGTTGATCTACGTTTAATAAGTGGACACATTGATACATTTCTAATTGTTTTTAATCGTTTTTCTAATTATAGATAAAACATATTTTTGGTTTACTTTTTTATTACATCATAAGCCATCTTATCGCCCATAGGAAGTTTAACTTGATTAAGTATCCGGTAATGTGTTCATAACAATAAAATTGTAACCAATATTGAAGTATCTTAGATAATGTAAAAAGAACGTGTTTGGAATATTGTAAAATCTATTTTTGTAATCGAATGAATAACAATGTTTTTGTACATGTATTCTATGAATATCTATGTAGTCTAGACCTAGAAACAATCGGTGATAAATCATTAACATAATTTTAAATTGTAACAAATTGAGCTTCGAAAATTATTATATAATAATTTGTCTCGAAAGTAAAGTTGAATTTAGTTGCTTAATGTATAAAACCGGACCTAAAATCCTATTCGTCATCCCAATACTCCGAAATTTTCCTGCGCACTAATCTTATATAAAAACCCACTAGGCGAGTGTGGATCTTTTTCTCTTAAAGATTTTCACATATCGATTTTCAAAATTTTGAGATATAGCAATATTTGTCGTTTTCACACATTCGAGTAAAAAAATAATACACAGACAGGGTGGCCAGACAAAAACGTATCAGCGCCATTATCAGTAAATGCGTCAACATTTTATACAAACGCTTCAATTATTAATTATAAGTAGACACAATACGAAACAGTTTTTATTCCGCTAGGGGGCGATAAAATCAAAAGTACCGTCACGAACAGTCATATTGCTAAATTCTCCATACAATTACTTTTTAATGTTTTTTTATACTTGGTACTTTCCCAATTTAAATGGTCTTCGTTAGAGTGTGTGAAGGGGAATGACGTAGTTAAGAATATGATAGGGAGATGTCCCATTTAATAAAAAATTGGCAGGTACGAGAGTTTGTGTCGACACAGTTCCTGATAATTGCTCTCCTACGTTTTCGTTTGGCTACCCTGTATATTAATTAATAAAGGGCGAAAGTTATCTGCGATTCAAGCTAAGAGATACACCCTCTGGGGGAAATTTGTAAGTACAGTTTGTTCGCTATACTTACGCGGGTTTCGGTTTAACAAGATTATGCAAATTAGTCATTGACAACCAGTTCCAATTAGCCTCTTCCCAAGAAATTAGGTAAAATTGCCCTAATGGTCAGATTTAAATTAAAATAACATTAGGGAAGGTACTAAATTTGTTACAAATATTGCAGTTGAATTGATTCTTTGCAAGTGTTGGCATTGTATGTATATTGTAAATTTAGTGGAAATTTTAAAAATGCCTAGACGTGTGTTAGATGTAGATAGTCTAATTTGTAGTGTACAATAAGTATTTTACGGATGAAAAAGAAAATGGCGGTCCTTTAAAATCGGTTATGTCTGTACAACAACGCGTATGCGATGCTCTAGGAATTAGTGAAACCAAATTAGGAGGACTATTACAAAATCACAATAGTGAACTGCCGAAAGAAGATCACCGCAAAACTCGCCCATCATTGAAAACGAAAGATATTCCAGATGGAAAGAAATTTGAAATTCGTGATACCATTTAT